TAGTAGTTTATCCAATTCAGCGTCTAGTTTTGGTCGAATAGCAAATGGAACTCTACGTGGTTTTAATCTGATTGGGACTGCTTGGGGGTCAACGGTGAACGAGATGGGGGTTCCATTATAACACCCCAGCTCCTCGCTGAACACATCTGCGTAGTCAGCGAATAAGGAGTCAGTGTCTGAGGTTGAGACAGCATGGACTCCTGTTAACCCTAGGCCGAGGTGGGGAAACCAATCGAGCCCCAATAAGGTGGGTAGATTGCCGTTAACTACCACTAGAGGTAGGTGGCCTTTAAAAGCTCTAAAACTGACAAAGAACTTGCCTCTGCCGATCACGGGAATGGCCTTCCCCTGGTAGTCCTTCAGACCGAACTGGCATCTCTGAAGCCGGGTAGTAGATAGGCTGGGGTGGAGTCTCTTGAGGGTGTTCCACGAGATTATTGAGAGCGCTGACCCTGTGTCAACCTCCATGTGGCACGGTTTACCTTCTAGGGAAACGGAGAGAGAAATTTTACTAACAGTGTGGCAAGTACGCCTGGCAAGGCGGTGCGTGCGACAGTTTAATACTTGCCTCTGAGGTCCTGAGTGCGAGGACGGGGGTCTGTGTGCAGCGCTTTGGGGGGCTTGGCAGACTCTCGCAATGTGCCCCCTCTTATGGCAGTTGTTGCAAACGGCTCCTTTAAACTTGCAGGTGGCCCTTTGATGTGATCCCCCACAGGCTAGGCACAGAGTGATGTGCTTGGGTGGACCGGTGTATTCTTGCTTGGCCCCTACCTGCGACCGTCTGTCATTGGTGAGGCGATGGACATCGTTCTCATCGTTGTGGGCTTCCTCCGCTTCCACCTCTTCGGAATGGACTGGGAACGATGCTAGCTTGGCGCTTGGGCCCTGAATTTCGGTGGCTGAGTTCGTTGCTAGCTCGGCTGCTAGGGCCTCCTCTACCGCTTGCGCGAGGTTGAGGTCTTTTTTAGCTAGCAGTCGCCTCTGTAGGTGGAGATCCTTGACCCCACAAACTAATTGATCGAGGAGCATGTCCTCCAGGTATGTTCCAAACCCGCAGTGCAGGGCTACTGTTCTGAGGGCGGCCATATATTGGTTGATGGTCTCCTTACTTGATTGCTTCCTCATTCGGAACGTGAACCTCCTGGCGATTTGTGAAGGCCTGGGAGCGTAGTGGTTTGTGAGGATCTCAAGCAACTCGGACCACGGAACGTTTTTCAATTCTCTCGGCGCCACGAGTGCTGCAGCGGTATCGTAAACGGTGGCTCCGCAGTAGATTAGGAAATAGGATTTTTTCCGATGCTCTCCCGCATCCGCCAGGCCGACCGCATCGATGTAATGATTGAAACGGTTCTTATACGATTCCCACTTCTCTTCGTCTGGTTTAAACGCCGGGAATACTGGATTGGAACTCATGGTGCTGGAACGGCTGGGCTACCTGCGGAAAAAATCTCTCTGGGACTACGAGCGCTCGTGAGTTACTAGTGATATCAGCTCTGGAGAGGTTTTTTTGCTACCCTCTCTTTCTCTCTCTCTGGGTTACCACGTTGGCTGCTAGCCGTTGGAGGTGTCTTGATTCGCGCCAAAAAAAGTGGGCGTTAGTGACTCTCTACAGCGCTGTGCTGTGATTCCTACCGGCTCGAAATTCAAATGACACCCGTTTGAATTTCGCGCCAAATGCAGAGCGGCTGCGGCTCGCAGCGCTTCACTTTCCCCGTAGCGGGGCTAACAAGCGGCTACAGACGCTTCTAACTATTTGACTCAGACCGCTTTCTCTGGCTGCGGATCTGCGTTTGCTCTTTTTGATCGCTCGTTTCGTTAGCTGACCGCTCTCTCTGGCTGCGGATCAGCGTTTCCCTTGTCGCCAGCCGATCGCTCTCTCTGGGCTGTGGATCGGTGGCTAGTGACTCAGCGGTTGCAAGGTGCTTCTGGTAGCCATCCCACCCTCGTCGCCAGTGTTTTGTTTGAGCAATGAGAGGCTGAACCAGAGCATGAGTGCAACAATACTTTATTTTACAATAAAGGGCTGACCGTGCTTGCCAAGCCTGGAACTGGCTCGCAGCAATCAGCAACCGGTTGGACCCCGCAGCCTGCATTTATAGCTGGCTGCTGGGGAGAGCCAACCAATGGGAATGGGGGAATAACGCCCAAGTAAAGTGAGTGGACCTGAGTGAGAACTCCTTGAGTCCTCAGGACATAACAGCCTACTACAGGTAGTCCTTGACTCATGACCACAGTTGAATCCAAACTTTCCATTGCTAAGCAAGTCGGTTAAGTGAATTTTGCCCCATTTTATGACCTTTTTGCCACAATTGTTAATTGAATAACTGGAATTGCTAAGTTACTCACATAATTGTTAAGTGAATCTGGCTTCCTCATTTATTTTGTTTAACAGAAGGTCATAAAAGATTATCACATGAGCCCAGATAATGCATTGTAAAGCACAATCAGACTTACAAATCTCTAGTTATAGTAGCCTATCACATTAAAAAATATAGCCCTAATCATCCTGTAAGATCAGTTTCCTGATCTTGTCTACATCATGGGGCTGACACCCATACATTAATCAGCTACATTATCATATATAAATTGGACAAGTTGATGTAATCAATCCAACGTTTTACTGAAATCAATGTGTTAAGCATCTAAGTTGCTACATTCATCCCAAAAGTGAAGTAGCATATTTCCCAGTTGTAGCTTACTGAAAATCTGTACTGTAAACTATTCCTGCATGATTACTTCAAGAAACAATGGAGTTAATTATTTGGATAGCGTGATTATTATTAATATTTTTTTAAAAAGAATAAGAGCAAGCTGTAAAAGGTAGCCTAGTGATATTATATAAAGCAATCAATTAGTAAAAAGGATAAAGATATTTTGGCAAAGAATGAAATGCATTAACAAATAAAGGCTTATTCTGTAAATTTTTGTCAACTGGTTGTATATTTCTTATTTGCCCACACTATAACTTTGCTTGTCATTCTTTAAACTGAGCCACTTCCTTTGTTGTATTTGGGAGCCTCAGTAGGGAGGTGCAGCAGATAAATGTACTTGAAGTTGGCTCTGATCATCCTTTCAGATCTTATCACAGTCATGCAAGCAGGAAATGGTAAGAGTGGCTTGCATCTAGAAATAATAGAACAAGATTCGCTCAGCTAGTACTACGGTATGATATATGTTGATTGTCTGTATGTTTGATCCATTATTACAAGTTAAAGGGGCAATTGGTAATAAAGCACATATTTATTAATATTGCTGCCTCTTTCTCGGCAGATACCTATGCATAAAACACATTGTATTATGACAATGTAGTGCAAAATGCAAGGGTCCATCATAAACAAAATTGAAGAAACTGATATCAATATCAGTTCCATTTTTCATATTTCTGCAAATTGATAGCTTTTATGCTTAAATGATCTTTCTTAAAACCAATTTTGGTAGAAATTCTATTTTTTCTTTTCGTAATATGGTCAGAGCTGCCTATATTCTAATTTTCAAACATCGCTATGGAAATTGCTGGACGCTATATTTACATGTATTTGAAGGTTCAGCATTACAGAGAGTCCTCGAATTACGACCACTATTGAGCCCCAAATTTCTGTTGTTAAGAGAACCATTTGTTAAGTGAGTTTTGCCTTTCTTGCCACATTTGTTAAATGGATCACTGCAGTCGTTAAGTTAGTTACATGTTTGTTAGGTGAACCTGGCTTCTCCATTAACTTTGCTTGTCAGAAGGTCGCAAAAGATGATCACATAATCCCAGGACCATCATAAATATCAGTCAGGTGCCAAGTGTCTGGATTTCAATCGTGTGACCATGGGGATGCTGCAATGGTCATAAGTATGAAAAACGGTCATGTCGCTTTTTTCAGCGTTTTTTTAACTTTGAACAGTCACTAAATGAACTGTTGTAAGTCAAAGACTACCTGTACTGTAGTGCAGTGTCCATGACAATTCCATGAACACGATTCACCATCATTCACCACTCTGATGGATGACAATTGGACATTGTGCATTGCGCGTGGAAGGGAATAATATTAGGATAGTTGACAGAATGAATCTGTTTAGCCTTTACCTTGGTTTGGTCTGCAGCCAAGACACTGATTAGATTGGTGATAATACTTTTCAGGGAATCTGGGAAAGTACTTTTAGTGTTACTACATTTAGCTTTTTTCTCTATGACTATTATACTATTGAATCTGCTGTTAATTGCACTTAAGAATTTACTATGTTAACTGATGGTGGTTACAACAAAGCCACCACTTCAGTGAATCCAGATGATTGGAAGGTTTCTATGGCTGATACCATAAATCAGGAGTCCCCAACCCCTGCACCTGGGCCCACTATCAAGCCTTGAGTCATTTGAAACTGGGCCTTGGAAGTGGCAGGCAAGCACCGGTGTGCATCCCCACTTACCTGAGCAGCAGGCAAGCTTACGCACACAAGCTCCATTTGCACAAGCAACAGGCGCACATTAGAGGTGGTATTCAGCAAGTTCTGACCAGTTCTGGAGAACCGGTAGCAGAAATTTTGAGTAGTTTCGAATACCACCTCTGACTGGCTCAATCTATTCTCTGCTTCCCGAGTCCCAGTTGATCGGCTGGATCTTCTTTTGTTGCCCCGCACAGGAGAATGGAGTTGGAAAGCAGGTTAGTGGGGTGGGGAGGGAATGGAGATTTTACAGTATCTTTCCCCTGCCACGCCCACCAAGCCACGCCCACAGAACAGGTAGTGAAAAATGTTGAATCCCACAGCTGGCGCACATGTCCTCCATTCATGCAAATGGAGCCGCACGCACACTTGCCCACTGCTCACACAGACCCACCCCTCTCCCCCACTCCTGCTGGTCCACAAAGCCAGAGAGGGTGGGAACTCTTCCATAAATGGCAACATAATTGCCTTACAAGCTCAACCAAAGCTTCCTGAATAATAAATTAATAACAAACGTTATTATTGAGAGAAATTATAAATAACATTATGTATCTTCTACTTGACTATAACAGGTGATATCATGGAAGCCATTGCAAAATTTGACTTTAATGCATCAGGAGAGAATGAGCTAAGTTTCCAGGCACAAGATGTTCTGAAGGTATGTATCAATCAACACTTCTTCAAAGACATTTCCAGAGCAGCACCTTTTTTTATTACCCAAATCTCAAAAGCAGTTTGAAACGAATAATTATCTTCACTGCCAGTGAACTCAGTGCTGAAACACTAGCACTCCAGATGACTACCAAGATAGCACAAAGAGTGACATTCAGCTGTCCCTCACCTGTGTTAATAATTAAGTATTAATTGTCTGGTATTTTCCCCAAAACAGTGAGCACAGGCAACAAGGGAAGCTACAATTCCATTAAGTGAATATCCCTTGGCTACCTTTAAAAAAAAACCCAGCAACAATAACAGCTTGATGCTGAATTCTGTAGGGAAGAGGAAGAAGTTGGCTTGAAATGAAAAGTCAAGCAGCAGGTTTCTGCCAGCAGAGAAGCTGTATGCTCAAAATACTAAACAGCTTCAGCATTTCCAGTGGGAAAGGAGTTTCTGAATGCATTGCAAGCGAACCAGAAATAAATTGGCTCAGCCACCAAACAAAGATGGCGTAGGTTACATATATGCAAAACTGATTTTTGGAGCATTGCAAAGACTGTGCATGGAAGTGTTTCCTATGAAGAGATAATATAATTTGTACTGTTAATAATCAGTAACACAAGTCATAAACTAGAACTGATTCTAAAAACATTATTACTAGCCAAAAGATTGATGGATAAGTTTTCCAATAAACTTTTTCCTTCTTTAGTACAAGTTTTTAGTTTGTCTTTCAAAGATGAGTTAAAGAATAAAATAACTGGGTTTAGCGAATTTTGAAAGAAATGCAAAGCAATCTTTTATTTCCAGAGGGGAACACTGATACATGAAAAAGGAGGTTCCCTAAATATTAAATATTGTATAAGAATTCATAAGAAACTAGTATGTTCATAAATGTGAGGTTGATGCGATTCTTTGAGACACTGAAGAACCCAAACGTTTATTCACAGAAAATTTTCAGGAGTTTTGGTATTTTTTTTTAAAAAAAAACTAGCATTGCCTGAAAAATATTAAATTAAAAAATGCTATTTTACAGAGTGCAGAATTGCTTTCAAAAGGCAAAATATAGATATTAACGAAGCAGGAAGGATGAGGCCTGCTGAAAGGAAGAAACCTATATCTCTACATGAACCTCTTCTCAAAAAGATATTATCTGAAGACTGTCCTCTTTACCTCAGAGGATTTATTTCTTTATTTCTCTGGAAATGTAATTCCAATTATACAGTAGTAGTCACGTGAGTTTTAGTATTGCTCAGATTTCACAGTTTGTCTACTGGAAGAAGAAAAAATTGTAATCAATTAGGTGTAAATAAATTTTGAGATCAGCAACTTGTGCAATTTTGTTGGGTTAACTGATTTTGGGGAATCTGACTTCAGATAAAATTATTAACATTTACAGAAATATTAATTTATGGTTGCAGAGATGAGTAGGAGTAGCATTATTTTCAGATTTCTGTGAAGTACAAGTCATCATTATTTTGCAAACTTAATAGACTTCCCACATTTAACCTGCGTATGACACTTAAAATGATATCTAATTAGGAAAGGAAACATTCAGTGACTGTTACTATAATTCAGCACAGATATTGGCTTGCTTAAGCATATATGCTGTCAAAATCCATGAGTAATGAAACAGTTTGTGGACTCACCTCATGAATTTAGAGTTGTCCCTCATGCAATATAAACATTTATTCTCAATTACATATGAATGCATGTCATATGTAAGTTTTCATGTGCATTGTTCTATATACTTTTTCCTCTGTCCTCTACTTAAACTAGAAGATTATTATTGTTGTTGTTGCTGTTGTTGTTGTTGTTGTTGTTAACCTTCACCCAATTATTATTATCCAAATAATTGTTGTTAACTCACCTATTATTATTGGTGCTATCTTTCTTGTGTTACAGTTGTTCTATTTCTATTACCAGGTCTTTGTATTTTGTGATTTACTCCAGTTCTTTCTCTTTTATTCTGCTGTCTCCAGGTACTGCCATGTCCAATATCCAGGCATTTTGTTTTTCTTATCAACAATTGTTAAGTCTGGGATGTTATGTGGCAAGTGTCTATTTGTTTGAATTCTAAAGTCCTAGAGTAATTTAGTTTTTTTTTTCAATTTCTATTACTTAGTTCATTTTTTAGCCATCAGTTCTTGCTTATTGGCAAAGGGTATTTTTTGCAGATATGTCAATGTACCATTGTTGCTTCTTTGTCATATTATTGCTTGTAATCAGTCCGTGTGATCTTCTTGCAGCAGCTAAGCTTTATTATTATTATGATTCAATGCACAGTCAGCCAGGTGTTTAGAGTGGATTTGGTATTTCTAACCACCTATCAAATCCTTCCCAAGAACATGGAATAGACAGATGTTGTTGTTTTGTAATTTACTTACTTATTTTCTATGCCTCCTGAATTGATGCTGCCACCTATGCTATAAATTCATTACATTGGTTCATAAACATATTTTCAAAATCTCCTTTCACTGTTTTCTAAAATAATTTTAGCAATTCCACGGTCTCAATCCAGGCTACCATAATCTTCCCAAACTATTTTATTTATTTTTTACTTATAGTCCCTATTTCTAAACCACCCACACTGTCATTTGGTTTGCCTGTTTCTTTTTATTTTTTATTATGAAAGGGTTATTTCTGCACACAAGGCAAGGAAGAATTATAAGTTATATTAATTAAAGGTTGCAAGATTTATGGGCTGAATTCACTTCTATCTATTATTTGCAGCCATTTACAGAGATAAGCTTTTAAGGGATAGCAGAATCATTTCATTGATCCACCATCTCTCTCTAAGACAGAACAGCTTTAAGAGGAGCAAAGCCACTGTTATGTTGGACACCTGTCATGAGTACATTGAAGGAAAAGAGACACTTTGGCAACTCAAAGTAGCGACTATACCTAACAGTCCTTCCTCCTCCTGAAGGCATGATGGCTCAGTGGTTAAAGACATTCAGTGTTAAAGATCCTAAGCTTGTTTGAGACCCAAACATAGTACAATGGGGTGAGCTCCTGATACTTATCCCAACTCCTGCCCACATAGCAGTTCAAAAGCATGCAAATGTGAGTAGATAAATAGGTACCACTTCAGTGGGAAGATAATATAAGAGTTCCTTGCTCCTCATCGTATAGTCATGCTGGTCACATGACCATGGAAATATCTTCGGACAATGCTGGCTCCCTAAGAAATGGAGCACCATCCCCTAGAATTAGAAAAGTTATCTTTACTTTTACCTTCCTCCTTCTATTTTTCTTCACAACAACAACCCCGCAAGGTAGGTTAGGCTGAGAAGAGAATGACTGGCTTCTAGCCTGATACCTTAATCACTAGACCAAAGTAGCTCTCAAATAAATTTTATATGATAAGACTTATTCTTTATAAAGTAATTAATCAAAGCACCAAAGTAGGGGAAGAAATGCAAGCCCTCAATTTTTGTTGTTGTTGTGCTTATATAGTTGTTTAGGTCCACCCTTTTTTTTCCTTTGACTTTTTGAAGTGCTGAAGCACACTCTGAAACTAAAATTCTGTGCAATCAGGTTTTTTTTTTTCTTAAAGGAAAGTGTTTGCATGTAGGTTTTCTTCCTATACATGTCCATGCCTAATAAATGAAAGTCAGAAGCTATCAGTTTCTCTTAACAGTTGGTTTGGCACACCTGCTATGCTTGTTCATTTCTATTGAGGTAAGAGAACAGGGTTATTTTCAAGAGAAAAAAAAGCTGCAGTTTGTTTCAGATCTCTGGAGGAAAACCAGTAAGAGTTGATAGCAGGAAGCATCGTAAAGGATTTAGAGAGGCATAAAATCTTCAAAATGTAGGCTAGCAGAAAGCACACATATACCTTCAAGTAATTAGTTTTCTTTTTGATTTACAGATCTTAAGTTCTCAGGAAAATTGGTACAGAGCTGAGTTGAAGAATTCTGAGGGATATGTCCCAAAGAATTATGTTGATTTTCAGGTTCCTGGGTAACTATTCAATTTCTACATTTATGTCCATGTTTTATAATATTGACTTCTATGTACTCATTTAAGAAATCATTTGAATCGGTAAAAAAAAAAGAAAGTGGCAAATTTCTGGGGAAAAAATCTTTTTCCATTTTTAGCTATTTTCCCTTTCCTGTTCAGTCCAGAAATATTCAGAACTCTGAATATTTTCCTAGTGACTTTTCAGCAACTTTCACACACATACAGAACATACATCTACACAAATACAGAACATACATCTACACAAATATTCAGAAAGCTGGAAGAGAATATTACCCTGCCATACCAAATTACACAATCCTATTTACTAGAGTCCAAAAATATAAACCGTTCAATATCCACTTGGAATATTTTAAGGGTAGCCCAAAAAAGTTGCACATATAACATATAAAACTCAGAAATCCTTCTAAAATACTTATAATTTCTGAATTAATTCCCGATTCATTCTAAATAGCTGTAGCATTTGTAAGTTTATACATAGCAAAAAATTAAAGCAGGTGGATGAATTTCAATAGAACGTTAATCAACATGGGAAACTAAAAGGAGAAATTTTGAGACATGTAAACTCTGATAAAAAGGAAGTGGGTAATCTGTTGCAAGAAATTACAGCAAAAATGACTATATACAAAAGTGCACTTCACTTTTTATATGGAACTGACATTTGAGTTTGTCAGGAGTAATATAAATTGAATAATATAAAAATAGATTAATTGAGAAGTATGTGTGGAAAAACAAAAATAATGCATGGATATCAAATGAATGTGTACACAAAAGTCAGTGCCCAGTAGAAAAGAAGTATGGGTTTTGTTTTTTTTTTGGTTTTTTTTAAGTTTTATTGGATTTTTATTTTTAAATATACATTTCATGAACAGTATGGCACCTGGGTATAATACATGGCCTCTGGGTATAATTCATTTTGAAACAAGTAGCAATAATAATATTAATAATGTTTGTTACATTAATCAAATTTATATAATCCTAGTATTAATATACATGTTTGTTTTAAAGTAGTCATTCAATATTTCAATGTTCCATTTTAATGCCAATGATATTATTTAAGCATACATCTTTCTGCCACTAAACTTTTCATCTAGTTATTGCTTATATTCTATTATATAAAAATTATATATACCAGTGATGGTTAACCTTTTCGTCGTCTCGTACCGAAAGTGCGCATGCGGACATGCGCGCATATGCCTGCACCCATAATCCAGTGTGCATGCGACCCCCCCCTGCACATGCATGTGAGACCCCCCGTGCCCCGCCCCTGTGCACACATCTCCCACATGAGCATCTCCCCTTGTGCATGCGCAGCAGATATCCAACAATTAGCTGGCTGGCAGGTAGTGCACATGCATGCGCAGTGGATGAGTTCTGGGTGACGGCTTGTGTGATGGCAGAAATGGCTCTGCGTGCCACTTCCAGCATGCGTGCCATAGGTTTCACCATCATGGATATATACTAATATTCCCCCTGTTTCTTACTAGCTTCTAGTCAGGCCACCATTACTAATTCTTTTGTTAATACACATGTTCATATTAAGACATAGTCCTTCATTATTTGGTTATTCAATGTTTCAATACACCATTCTATGACCAATCATCATATTATCAATCATCATACATAATAAAACCATCTTTCAACCTCCAATCTTTCCATCTAACTATTGTTTTATATAAAAGTGTATCAAATTATTTCTACCTCTATTCTAGTGTTTAATCAGGCCGTCGTTATATTAGAAAAAAATAAAAAAAATTCCTTTCTATCCATCATCTCTTGTTCATTTTAATGTTTCAATTCTTATTTGTTTTTTAGCTCTCTTAGATCTTTGTCTCTATCAACATCTGCATCTTCACCATTCAGTCTGAATATTTCTCCCATTTCTATCCTCCTAAGCTGCTAGGTCTCCAGAGTGTTCACCCAAGCCCCTATCTCCCTTTCAAAAGTATCTTCCAGCTTATCCGATCCATTTTTAAAGCTCTTAAAATACTTTTCCCTTGGTTTATTTCATCAGTCATTATTATCTTTATCATCTTCTCCTTCTCATCTCCTTGCTTTATTTGCTGATTTGTCGGTTCTATCTTTTCCTCCATTCTTTCTTTCTCTTTCCTGAACTTTTTGATCTTCATTCATTATCAATTGTAGGGTATTTTCTATTTTCCCATGTATGCCTTGCACTAGGTTCTTCATCTCTCTGTGATTCTTCATATTTCTAATGCTTTGAAACATCAATGCCATTTCTTTTGAAATCTCACTCATTTCCCTCTGATGGAGCATCTTGTCTTATTTTGTAAGTCCCGCTATTACTCAATAGTCCAAAAACAATATATTCAAGTCCAATGTTGTTCCTCGGAAAGTTCAATAATCATAGTTCTTTACATCTCAGGATTATTAATCTGTTCCATTTAAGTAGTCCAGGCAGCTTTCCATAAATCAAAAGTCACTTTACTTTACTTAAAGGTCTTCCTTATTCTCACACTAGAGTCCAGTAATCTTAAAATAGATATAGACCAGTGAGTATCACCACAGTCTTCCAGATAAATGTTGTTTATTTCTCTTATCAGAAATTTTCTAGGCTTATAGATATATGGTATATTTTCCATTCATCAGTAGATGGCATCCTCAGCTTAGGTTTCAGCATTGATTCAAGTCTGACAAATTTATTAATCCAAATTTAATTCAATTTATGGGAGCAAAATCAGCTATTCAAGTAGATAGTTCTAGCATTTTATAATGCCTTTCCAAAACAATGCCTACCCAGTTAAAAGTCCAATTTTCTATGTTTTAAAAGGTCTTTAGCTTTTCTCCCCTTAGTTCCTTTCTTTCGGGTCTAGGATTTTTCTCTCGATGGTTGTTCACCACTTTAACAAATAGTTCTAAGAGTCTCTTTTCCTGGATTTTCTTCTTCTTTTCCTTTTAAAGTTAGGGTTTAAATAAAAAAAGGAATCTTCTCACCCAGCTCCAGTCACTATTCATCTGCACCGCTCCTGCACATTTCTTGTTTGCCTTGGCTGTCCCAGCTTCATGTCAGGCATGGTGGCTGCCTCTTTTCCTTGTCATGGATGAGAGGGGAGAAGCCCTGGGTCAAGCAGGAGAGTTACCCCTCTTTACTTCACTACCCCTACAGGGTGGCTTTAGCTTCTTTCAGAGTCCTCCAACAGGGAAAACTTGGCACAGGAGCGCAGAGACCTGCTCCTCACATCTGATCTCACCATGACATCATCTGGAAGTCCCAAAAATAAGTAAGTTGAAGTGGCCTCATCACAGAGAAAATGAATAAGGATTAAATAGCAAGACAAATACTTTATATGGAAAAACTTAATGAATTAAGAGTAAAGGAAAGGGAAGTTTGAAAAAATTAAGTTGATCAGTTTTTCCTCTTAGAAGTGCCTGTCTTTTAGTTTATCGCATTAGGATGATTTAGGCTTATCAATATGAGCCTTCTCAACTGTTATTATTTATTTATTCTTTGAATATAGAACTTAATGTTTCTTCTAATAACCTAATATATATTCAGAGGGATGGGTATGGCACATTTCCTTTTTTGCATTCTAAATGGCAGAAGCACTTTCACTTTTGACAGGAGCTTCCATTATTTTGTGCTGGATTGGTAGAAACAAATTAGAAAGGGATGATGATGATGATGATGATGATGATGATGATGATGATGATGATCAGGGATGATGGAGATGATGCTGCTGCTGATGTTTCAGAATGAAACATGGCTAACTCTCAAATTGATTTTCTATTATAGTTACTTATGATGTGTTGCTTTTGACAGCTGGTTCCAAGAGAGAGTGTCCCGCCACACAGCTGAGACGATGCTGAGGGATAAAGGATTTGGTGCTTTCATAGTCCGAGCTAGTCAGAATTCTCCAGGAGATTTCTCTATCTCTGTCAAGTAAGTTTCCTCCTCTCTTTCCTCCATATGGGAAAGATGGACAGTGGGAAGCAGACGGCTTTATTTGATAGATATCTTAAAACAAGTTTGTTTTCCATGTGTGCAACAGCCATTTGTTAATGTCAAGGTGTGCTCAGTATCAACATGATAGCCTCTGGATGACCTACAACAGTTGTTTTTTTCAATCTATCTTTTAAAATATATTAATATTCCAATTTGGAAAAGGCTGTTTCCAAAACCTAGTAATAAAATCCAATATTTTTTAATTGAGAAGTAACTATTTAGAATTATGCATTACTTATTGACTGAATTATGATTATGGATGGTTAGAAGCTGTGCAATTTTATTTATTTATTTAGTTATTATTTATATCCCACCTTTATTATTTTTACAAATATCTCAAGGTGGGAAACATATTCAACATATCTACCTCCTATTTTCTCCACAACATGAGTTGGGCTGAGAGAGAGTGTGACAGGCTCAAAGTCACCCAGCTGGCTTTCATGGCTGAGGCAGGTCTTAAACTCACTGTCTCCCACTTTCTGGCCTGGTGCCTTAACCACTAGACCGGCTGGCGCTCTGCTATGTTATGCATGTGTCAATCAAAAAAATGCATACAGAAACAACAAAAAGGAAGAAACTATCATCATGGGTTCATAAACATATGAGATGGAATTTCCTGGATTTCAGGAATAACATTTTTTAATGAACTAAGTTTTAAAGTCTTTCAAATGTTCCCAAACATGATCAATAATACTATGAAGCAATTCTTTTTCCTTTCATAAAGGGCTTTTCTTGTATAAAGATAAAATACACAGAAACAAGGGCATGCTTCCAAGTGTAAAAAGATAATGTGCATTCTACAATGTAATTTATTTCTACTTAATATGATGTTTGAACCTACCCATTCAACCTTAGACCTGTATGAAGCTCAAGCTACTATAACTTTTTAAAATCATAGTTAAAAAAACAAAAGCCTCTTAGCATTATTACAAAGTCAAATAATGTAATTAAATACTTATGTGGAAGCAGAGGGTTACTGTAACCCAGCTGCAAAAAGTCAAGTTTACCACAAAATGGCAACAGAGAAATTATCATTTTTTTTCATACTCTAATTCTTTTCTGCCATCTAGTGGACATCTAGATTTCTGTTGTTCAAATCTTACCCAAATAATTTGCTAAAGATTTGTACAAGATTTAATTAAGAAAATGGAATGAATGATCAAATTATATATTCACTGCAGTTATTTTAGGCATCATTTTTGGAAGTGATTTATCATGGCTGCTTCCTAGGGCTGAGAGTGTAACCTGAGGCCACTCAGCTGCCTTTGTACCTAAGGCACAGTCAAATTCAGATCGCCCCAGTCCTAGTGCAGACTCTTACTACAGCAAAATAAGGAATGATGATGGAAGGGACCTGGAAGATGGGAATCTGATTTGATCAGATGGAACAGATGAATATGGGAAGATGTAGTGCAACAGATAACAGTCCACAGCCATTTAGAGACGTAAAGATGATAACTGATGAATCATGCTTAGAAGCCAACCAGCAACCAGTGCAGCTCTTAAAATACTGGGATTACCCAACTACTTTGGGATATACCCATTACTGCCAAGACAGCTACATTTTGTACTAACTGTAGCTTATGAAGGCTTTTCAGAGGCAGCCCTATGTAAAGATCATTACAGTATCAGAAGTGGGAAGGTACTAAGGCATGAGTAAGAACCTAAATACTGGCCACAATTAAAATAGCTGTTCAAAAGTTATGTTAGCCACAACTGCTACCTGCTCATCAAACAGGACCTATAAATCCAGGAGAACATCTGAACTGTCAGTCTGAGGGAGGTGGGTGATTAAGAAGTGTGAAATACAAATAAATAAATAAAAATCACCTGAGTGGGGAACACAACTTCATTCAAAGTCAAAAAATAGTATTTCCTTGGAATTGTTAGGTCTATAAATCCAAAGTTACTCCTTCTTGGAAAGATTCAGTCAAAATCTGTTCCACTCTATCCCAACCGTGAGAGCAATTCAATGCACCTTGCATGTAGGCAAGATGTATAGCTGGGTATCGTCACTCTGATATCAGACCTCATGCTAATAGCAATAGCACTTAGACTTACATACCGCTTCACAGTGCTTTACAGCACTCTCTAGGTGGCTTAATCTGGCTCCTCATTTTGCCCATCTCGGAAGAATGGAAGACTGAGTCAACCATGACCTGGTGAGATTCGAACTGCCAAACTGCTGGTAGCTGGCAAACAGGAGAAGTAGCCTGCAGTACTGCATTCTGACCACTGCGTCACCATGGCTCTAATGGATGATTTCTCCAAGTGGTTTCATATAGATGGTAAAGAAGAATGGAGAGAGGCATGAGGTGCTGAACAAAATAGAGCCTTCTGAGCAGATCTTTCCTCCCTACTCCACACCAACCAAGAGGCTGACTACCCTCCTTAAGATCCCAAAGAGCTTAGGCCTCAGTTATGTCTTTTTCTGTAAATATTCTCATCGTACATTAATCCATCTCCAGGATCAGAACCGCCAGCTTCTCTAGTGACTTGAGATTGGATCTCCCAGTCATCATCCTTAAATTGTGGAAATTTCTGTGTGTAGATATCAGGCATCTGCAGACCTTTCCTTTCCACTAGACTTTCAATAATTTAATCATCTAAAATGTAAACTATTTAATATGTTTTAATGTGAATGGCATTTTTTAATATGTTTAGTGCATTTAAAACTTTAAAACATAAACCACCTGGAACCATTTATGAAGAATGATATAGAATAATAATTATAGGTATTATTATTTTCACAAATAATTCAAATAATGTTTTTCAGCTAAAGCATGCCAGTTTGTAAACGTTAATACAGAGTACAAATAGAATAATGCAACTTTAAAATTAGATTGGATTGCCAAATGTTTTGTATTCTCCCTTGGTATCCAGGCATGAAGAGGATGTCCAGCATTTTAAAGTGATGAAGGACACAAACAGCAATTATTTTCTATGGAGTGAAAAGTTTCAGTCACTAAACAAACTTGTGGAGTATTACAAGAATGTTTCCATCTCCAAAAACAAACAGATTTTTCTGAGAGAAGAAAACAAGAAAGGATCACAAGTAAACCTTAGAGAGGTCAGTTTTTATGATAGAGTAGAAGAAAAAAATGTAATCCAGTAAGGTTTGTAAAACTTGTAAGCCAATAAAGTGACTTTTGCCATGAAATTAGCCACCCCATCAACTTTTTCCTTAGTTGTTTCTAGTTGGCTCTTCCTCCTTTCATCAGTTTTTTTTATAGAAGCCTTAACACAGGGCTCCCCAGCAGCATTAAATTAAATGACACTTGGACTATGGCATTCAGTTTTGGACACAAAAAATATGTTGAGACTCTAGAACAGTGGTTCCCAACCTTTTTTTCGCCCCGCACCCCTAAAGAAATTTCACTCGAACCTCGCACCCCCTGAAATTTAGACTTTAGGAAACTACTGAACGCGTTAAATATATGTTAGGATTGAATCTTTTCAGCTATGTATGTGATGGCCACTAAATAACGATACTTAACTCTAAAATGAAAACAAAGTTAATCCATTGCATAATAAATAAACATAAAAATAAATAAAAATTACCTGGACTTTTCTCACACCCCCTGGAATATCATCTCGCACCCCCAGGGGTTGGGAACCCCTGATCTAGAAAGAATTCAGAGAAGAGCAACAAAGATGTTTACTGGAGTGAACTGGAGGCCAAAACATATATATATATAATGAGCAGTTCTGTCTACTCTAACAAAGAGAAAAATTAGGCCAGATATGATAGCAGTCTTCCAGTACTTGTGGAACTGTCACAGAGAACAGGGGATCAACCTATTCTCCAAAGCACCTTTGGGTAGGACAAGAAATAACAAATGGAAGCTTAAAAAGAGAAATCCAATCTAGAACTAAGGAGAAATTCAATTATTCAGTGGAACAGCTTGCTTCCAGAAGTTGTGGGTGTCCATCATTGGAGGTTTTTCAGAAGAGATTGCACAGTTATTTGTCCAGAACAGTATATATGGTCTCCTATTCAAGCAGGAGATTGGACTAGAAGATCTCCAAGATCCCTTCCAACTTCCCTTTCCTCCTTCTATATTCATATGTTATGGCTCGGAGGTTTGAACCTGCTTTGTCAGAGGTCAAGGACTTGGTAAATGAGGAAGGGGAGGATTTGGCTCTGAGGTTTGAGCCTCCTTTGTTAGAGGATTTGGAATTGCCTTCCTCCCCAGGACTTTCCTCCTCGGCAGGATCTTCCCCCCGATTGTGCCTCAGGTGTCGGCAGATAATCAGGAGAACGTATCAAAGCCTCTGACTGAGGATCAAGCCGAGGAATGCTGGCTTGATGCGGGGCAACGGCGCAGGCAAAGGTGTAAGTTGCAATGTAAAAGGAAAGGACGAATTAGAGACTGAGATGAGGGACTGACATGCCCCACAGAGAATAAAAGTGGGTGTGTTAGCTCTGGATTCTTGTTCGGGACAATGTGTTAATTTGTGAGAGCAGCTCTGACGGATTCTGTGTGTGTGGCGATAGCCGTGATTTATGTTCTTGCTTTATTATCAGACTTGGCAGACAACTTGCGTGAGACTGCCAAGGACTTGCCTGGCCAAAGGAATTTAACCCTGTCATTACTGGTCTTGTCTGCTTGTGTATATTCCTTTGGAAACTTGGACTTCTCACTTTGTTGGCACAGGTGAGACATAACATTCATAAGTGAAGCGATATGTTGTAGGAAGTTCTAAAAATGATGTATAGTAAAGTGAGAAATTGATACCAATTACAGGAACCATGTGGTTACAGCTATTTCAAAAAAAAAAAAAAAGGCAAATGATACATCAGATTATTTTGTTAATCATATGAGTGAAACAAAGACAAAATCAGACTCCCTTTAGCAGTAGAATCCAGAAACATTCAGTGGCAATTAATATGCAAAAAAAAAAATCACAAAATCCAAAAGGGAAAATGCTGTTTCATAGACCTATGGGTTGTTATGACCTTTTTGGTCATCCAACATTGATTGGGACTTGTGATAAGCTAGAAAGAGAGATCTAAAGAAAACCCACACAGAGAGACCAATACCTGCTATGACTCCCACCAACCATATCAGGACACTACCTCACAGGGAAGAAAACATCCCCACTCCATAGAGGCCCAAAAGAAGGAAAACAGGCACCTAAAGACAGCTCTTAAGTCCTGTAGGTATCCAAATTGGCTCTTTATTAAATCAGTGTCTGGATTCAACATAAAGTGGCAGACAGAGCTGGTATTCAGAGTCAAAAGAATAACCTGGTCATTCTTTACAAAGCTGGTATATCAGCGATGCTAAAACAGATATTTGGAAAATATCACATACCTGTGTTTTTCAAGCCCACCAACACATTGAGACAGAGGCTTATCCACCTTAAAGAGTGGACACCAAAACATGATAGAATAGAATAGAATAGAATTCTCTATTGGCCGAGTGTGATTGGACACACAAGGAATTTGTCTTGGTGCAAAAGCTTTCAGTCTACATAAAAGAAAAGATACATTCGTCAAGAGCCAAGAATCATAAGGTACAACACTTAATGATAGTCAGGGTACAATAAGCAATCAAATCATACTAGGAAACAGTCAATATAAATCATAAGGATACAAGCGACATAGTTAGTCATATAGTCACAAGTGGGAGGAGATGGGTGATAAGGAGTGATGAAAAGATTAACAGTAATAGTAGTGCAGACTTTGTAAATAGTTGAACAGTGCTGAGGGAATTATTTGTTTAGCAGAGTGGTGGCTTTTGGGAAAAAACTGTTCTTGTATCTAGTTGTTCCGGTGTACAGTGCTCTATAGCATCATTTTGAGGGAAGGAGTTGAAACAGTTTATGTCCAGGATGTGAGGGGTCTGTAAATATTTTCACAGCCCCCTTTTTGACTCATGAAGTATACAGGTCCTCAATTGAAGGCAGGTGGGTAGTAATTGTTTTTTCTGCAGTCCTAATTATCCTATGAAGTCTGTGTCTGTCCTGTTGGGTTGCAGAACCAAACCAGACAGTTATAGAGGTGCAGGTGATAGACTCAATAATTCCTCTGTAGAACTGTATCAGCAGCTCCTTGGGAAGTTTGAGCTTTCTGAGTTGGCGCAGAAAGAACATTCTTTGTTGTGCTTTTTTGATGACGTTTTTGATGTTAGGTGTCCATTTTAGGTCATGTGATATAATAAGAAGAGTAATGATGTGTATGCAGTCCAGTGCAGCAAAGAATGTTCAGAGCTCTACACTGGAGAAACCAAGCAGCCTTTACACAAGAGGATAGCCCAGAACAGGAGAAGCAACATCACAGGATCACAGAACACCTTCATTTAGAAGAAAAAGGACACTCTTTTGAGGACAATAATGTTCACATTTTGGAGAGGGAAGATAGGTTTTTTGAGAGGACTAGAGAAATCTACTTATGCCAAAATGGAAAATCTTTCCCTCAACAGAGGTGGAAGCCTCAGACACAACTTGTCCCCCATTTTTTATGCTAATCTTTCATCAGTTCCAGGAAGATTAACACATCTTCATAGGCTCACTAGGTTTGCCACATTTAATGACCCACCTAGGGTAAAGGACTTAGGAATTGGAACATTTACATCCCAATGACTCTTTGCCTATTCACCTAATGAGCCTATCCATATTAGATGAAAAAAAAAATCTCCCTGGAGGACATATATAGGTCCCCCCAACCAACTTGCTCAGGCTGAAGAAGCTATAAATTGTTTTGAACCAATAAGAAAAAAAGTCCAGTTTTTATGACTCAACTTCCAGATTCTCTACCCGCTATTCTTTCTCTGTAAGAAAAGGGCCTTGACCATCCAAATTGCATTGCTGGCAATAAAGGAGAAAAATGAAACAATCCTGTAATGCAAACTCCTTGTCTTGTAGTGTAAAGGCATGTGCCTAGAGGTTTTAAGCCTTCCTTTCCCATTTTGGGAGACAGATCACTTGATAAGAGATTAACTAAACCCAAACTGCATTATTTATAAACAATAAGGATCCTTTTTAATTTTAAAAATAAAAAATGCAAACTTTCATTGTTTAACAAGTTGGATGAAGTTAGTGAAATCAACTGTCAGTGTAATGTGCAATGATGATCACAAGATATCATTCTTCTGCTTTTTTTTCTTTTTTAATGATGATGATTAATCTCAGAGTCAGACAGATGTTTGATTGGATTTGGCATTTTTTGTAGGACCTGGGTTAGGCATTTGATTGTGTTAAAGCTATTGTCACAAGATATACGCTGTTCCAAATAAGGCTGCCTTTTGCAATTGATTGATGATGATTTTGTCAATGCCAACAGTGTTCAAGTGATGTCTAGATGTTTTGGGATTTTACTATTGACATTAACTTTGCTTTATTTTGCCACAGTTGTTTTAAATCCATTTGCAAGTCTTTATATTTTGTGATTTTCTCCAGTTCTTTGTCTTCTATTCTGCTGTCTCCAAGTATTGCCATGTCCACTATGTAGACTTTTTGTCTTTCTTATCAACAATTGTTAAAACTGTGGTGTTATTGTCTGTTCAAAGTCTAAAGTCCCAGACCTCTTAGCTTCTTCATTTTATATTACTTTGTCTATTTTGTAGTCCCATTAGTTCTTGCTTTCAAGCAAATGTTATTTGACACAAGTTGGGAGGCAAATAAATTTAATAATAGCACTTAACACTAGCAATAGCACTTAGACTTACATATCAGCAGTGCTTTAAAGTCCTCTCTAAGTAACTTACAGAGTCAACATATTGCCCCCAACAATGTGGGTTCACATTTTACTGACCTCAGAAGGATGGAAGGCTCAGTCAACCTTGAGCCAGTGAGAACTGAATTGTCCAACTGCTGGCATCTGGCAGTCAGTAGAAGTATCCTGCAGTAATGTATTCTAACCACTGCACCACCATGACTCTATAATTAATAAATCATAAACAAATATTTCTTGAAAATATTCCAATACACAATTGTTGTTATTTCGTTATGCCATTGTTTGTAGTCACTCTGTGTGATCTTGCAGCAGTGGACTAGGCTTCTTCAGCTTCTTTGAAGATGCGGTATTTGCTGTCTTTTGCTATCTACTCAATTCTGGCTTTGTAT